TACTTATTATATTCTTATATTATTATTATATTATATTCTTATATAGTATTAGTATTATATTATTTTATTATATTATTTCTTAGTATTTTAAGTATTATATTACTGATTAGTCGAAATTTAAAGGACTTTAAATTTCGACTAATCAGTAATATAATACTTAATAAACTATAAAAAGAAAATGTAAAATAAAGAGGGTAGACCAAAAGTCAGTTAACCAAAATTGTGATTTTTAAAATTTATCTTGGTAAACTGACTTTTGAATCATCTCTTACAAAATATAGTCTATATAACTAAAAATTTTTAATATATTTGTTTAGTAATTTTAACATTTTTTGGAGTGGTTCCATTTATATTGGGCATTAATTAAGAAGTATTTCAGGAATGTTGAGAACTAAGTTCTATGATAATTATAGAGAACATTTTAATGCTTAAACTATATAAAAACCTTTAAAAAATTATTATTTTTTGATCGACATTTATTCTTGAAACAGTATCAGCTTATATAATAACATTTACAATAGAATATCCTTCTACATTCAGGTCCAAATGGTATTTAGTAAACTGATGCTGATCCAAGGAGGGATGCTGATACAAGAAAACGTTTCTCATTAAAATTTTATTGGGTTTCTATAAAGACAAAAAATTAAAAATAAAATATTGTTTATAATTAATAAATATATTTTGAAAGAGAAATGAAAGGATGGTCAAAAGTCAGTTTACCAAACTAAACTTTAAAAAAACACCCACGTTTTGGTTAACTGACTTTTGGACCACCCCCGCCTCTATTTTATATTTTATATGATATATTTAATTACATTTATATGTTAAAATTTCAATTTAACTATTAAAAAAATATATTTTAAAATAATTTAAATGTATGAAAATCTCTAAAAAAACTTTTAATAAAAAATATTAAAAAAAGAGATTTAATATTAAAATTAAAGTATTAAAATATTTATTATAATTTTTTTACATAATAATTTTCATTTAAAATATAATTTGTTCTATTGAAAATTCATTGATATATTTCCATCCCCAGGAATACATTCCTTTAATAAAATAATACATTAAATTACTACTATTTTTACTATTAAAAAAAATTAATATAAATTAAAAGATAATTAATAAAAAAATTCAATTAAATGAATTAAATATTCGAAATTTAATTAAAATTCTTCTACAATTCTAGAATTGCATACTTGAAATTTATGAAATATTAAAAATATTTTTTAATTTTATTCATTTTAGAAAATATATATATTATTTTATAAAAATAAAATTTATTTGCCACTAATAATGCCTATAAATAAATAAAAACTATATTAAAAAAAAAATAGTAAAATTAAATTGCGTTGTGTTAATGTAATTACTTCATACCTAATCAAGGAAGAACAATTTACAAAAATGCATTTCTCTTTCTCTTTTATATTTAGAAGTGGAATTTTTTTTGTTGTTTTTTTCTTATTTTATTGATATTAAAATTCCGTTTTAATGGATAATAATGATAATTTATCGAATTTCGATCAGAGGAGCAAACATAAAAATTGAATTGTTGCCAAACTAAAAGGGAGGGAGGAGGAAAGAAAAAAAATAAAATAAAATAAAATAAAATAGGAGCAGCATTTTGGCATTTGTTAGAAAAGGAGACATTAAGGCTTTTGATGATGTTGAATGATAATTAACAGAGAAAAGAAAAGATCAAAGAGGTTCAATCAATGCTTTAATATTAACTTTATTCCCCTTTTTTCCCCTTTAATTTTTGTATGTATCTATACTTATATGTGTGTGTGTGTGTCTGTTGAGGTTGTTTGAATCCACAACAAAGACATTTAAATAAATATAAATGAGATATTTCAGTTTGAACAGGTTCTTAATTTGCTTTTCTATCTAGAAAATATATAAATTTGCATTTGTGTAAAACAAAAATCAATATTTTTTAAATTAGGAATATGTATATATATATATATAATTTTTTTTCTAACTTAGAGATAAATTTATTTATGTTTTCGTTTGAAAAACCACCTGTCAGAAATGTCAAAAAAATCCCCCTTGATCTTTTCTCTGTGTGATTGTTAGAACTTGAATATTTGCATTTTCATTTAGAAAGTAATAAATTTACATTCGATTTCCAAATATTACCCTAAAAGCTTTGACTAAACTTTACTCGAATTTAAAATGTTAATTTCTTGGAGTACAAACTTAATTCGATTTAAAAAAAAACAAAAAAAANAAATATAAAAAATATTTTCTATTTACAAAATAGTGTAAGTTAAACTCGTATAATTTACAAAATTTTTAAAATTACACAATATGGCATGAAAATAAAGGTGGGTAATTGTTAGAACGAAAGTAATTAATACAAAACTAACGATATAAAGTAACTAATGTGAAAATAAAGATATGAAATGGACCCTATAAAAGTAAAATTTTAATTATTATGGAATTGAGCGCGATGGCGTGAAACAAAATTACATGTCTTTTGAAATTATTAACGAGAAACAAATGACAATCTAAATACTTTATAAGAAACTAGACACGAAACTGTTTGTCTAAAGAATTAGACTAAGTTCTACAATACTTAAAATATCGAATGGAATCGCATAAATGACAAATGTAAACGTCATTCTGAATAATTTCTTACTGTTTAACAAATAACAGAGTAAACTCTTCCACTATATAATTATATATCAGTTTGAAATTAATTTTCTAAGGAGTGGAGATAAAAAAAAATGAAATATCTTCAACTATCGAACAAATATTTCCGCAATTTTTTAAACAGAAAATTAAAATTCTCAGAAGGTGTAAGACGTGACAACACGAAATCGTTCAAATGGTAAAAGGTTAAAAAGAAAGAGATAACAATTTTCCATTAGGAGACGATAACTTCTATGTTTATGTTATTTATAAAGATATATTTTTAAAAAAAATCAAAGCTGGTAGGAAAGTTTACGATCTTTTATAGAAACAGGAGTGTTCAAAATGCCGTATTAACTCAATGCAATTTATAGTAACACCATTTCTCACACGCATTTTATAGCTTGTAGACTATGTAGCAGCAGTTTCAAAATAACTCACCTGTCAAAGTTGATTTTAAAAAATATGAAAAATATACTTTATTTAAATTGTTTACATTGCAAATGTTATTTTTAAAAATTGTTTTTACATAAATTGTTTTCTAAAATAGAAATATTTATCTAATACTTTCCCCCTTCCCTCTTTATCTCTTAAAGCATCCCCTTATTGTTATAGACTTTCTAAACAATTTAATCTTTAAGAATTTTATCAAAATTTCCCTATATATGAATTTAAAAATTGTTTTCCAAAATAGAATTATTTATCTTGCATTATCCCCTTTTATTTTTAAAACCATCTCTCTATTAATATATAAATCTTGCATACAATTTAAGCATTTTATCAAAATTTTCTTGTAAGAAATATATATATATATATTTTCTTAAATTAAGAGGTATATATTTAATTTAATTTTTGATATGTTCATATCTTTAAGTAAAATAAATATGTAGAGAGAGAAATATAGATGAGAATTTGTTTATTTTTTGAAAGGTATATCTTCTGAAGATTTAGATTCTTTGACAGGTGAGTAAGCACTTGGTATAGAAGCCCAATTTTGCTTCTCTCCTGAAGCAAATAGACCATAAAAGATAGCTCCAACAAAATAGATCCCAGCTGCTATAAAAAACACCGTCTTCCATTCTTCTTGTGTCTAAAAATTAGATTTTATTGTGTATTTTTCTATGGATTTTCATTTCATAAAAACTTATTTTTATTAATTAAAAATTATTATAGAAATTATTTTACTTTTTGAGTTGTTATCTGTCCTGTTATTGTTGGGCTTACTATTCCTGGTATTGTAGCAAAACAATTTGATATACCCATCAGTACACCTGCAAACTGAAATGATAATTGAAGAAAAAAATTATAAATTTAATTTTTTTTTCTTATTAAAAATAATAAAAATTTTTATATCATATAATTGAATATAGTAATTTGAACGTGTAAAAAATATATGAAAGAAATAAAAAAATTTTTTTCCTATAATTTTCTTGTTTGTATAGCATTAAAATTAATTATTAATTACAGTCATGAAACACGTTTAATTTGTATTTAACGAGTTTTATTTTCTTTAAAAAAAATCAACAATAAAAAGTACATCCATTAAAACACTATAAATTTTTAAACATTAGTTTTAACTTAATTTTAAAAAAAATAACGACATTATATAAGAAGTTTCCTTAAAAACTATTACTGTCGTTTTTGCTGATTGGTTAAAAATAAGAAATTTACAATTATTACGATTAGTGGAATAAGGAAGACGTAATAATTCATCGAAACTCTCTTCGACAAATCATATTTTTGATAGCCACGTTCATTAGTGTACGTAATTCTGTCTCCAACCAATCATGAAAGACAATATATCATTTTTTAAACGATCTCTTCTTTTTTAAAATGACTTAACCAAAAATATATGTAAGAAAATTATTAAATGCTTCTTTAAACAATTTCAATAACTACATTAGAAAGTAAAATACAGTCGAATCTCCAATTACGGCCATCTCTCATGCATACAAAATAACCTCCAAACAACGGCCACTCTCAATAACGTAAACCTTCAAATAACGACCATTCTATTCTATATATATAACTAAAAATTACATAAAAGAACATAACAATATTGCTACAGATAGAAAAATATTTTTATATATACTGTAAATATAATAATTATAATTTTAAAGTTTTATTTTATATAAATTAACATTTTATATAATTATATAGAATTAAAAAAATAAAAGAAATAAATAAAATTTATATTTTTATCGAGTTAAAAATTTTGAATAGAACAATTATGAAATGTTTATCATCGAAGATACGATCAATTTTAAAGTCATTAGAGAATATATATATATATATATTTTTCTTTCTTTCTTTCCTCTTTAATTCTATATATTCATATTTTAGTAATTACATTCAATTATATTGTATATAATTTAATGTAATTTTCTGTCATGAATAATTCCATTTAATTTCTTTCATTTGGGGTCTTTGTACTTTTGTAACTTAATAAAATTATTATCAATTTTATTGAGTGTTATTATTATATAAATGAAGAGTTTTACTATAAAAATAAATATAAAAAATATTTTCTATTTACAAAATAGTGTAAGTTAAACTCGTATAATTTACAAAATTTTTAAAATTACACAATATGGCATGAAAATAAAGGTGGGTAATTGTTAGAACGAAAGTAATTAATACAAAACTAACGATATAAAGTAACTAATGTGAAAATAAAGATATGAAATGGACCCTATAAAAGTAAAATTTTAATTATTATGGAATTGAGCGCGATGGCGTGAAACAAAATTACATGTCTTTTGAAATTATTAACGAGAAACAAATGACAATCTAAATACTTTATAAGAAACTAGACACGAAACTGTTTGTCTAAAGAATTAGACTAAGTTCTACAATACTTAAAATATCGAATGGAATCGCATAAATGACAAATGTAAACGTCATTCTGAATAATTTCTTACTGTTTAACAAATAACAGAGTAAACTCTTCCACTATATAATTATATATCAGTTTGAAATTAATTTTCTAAGGAGTGGAGATAAAAAAAAATGAAATATCTTCAACTATCGAACAAATATTTCCGCAATTTTTTAAACAGAAAATTAAAATTCTCAGAAGGTGTAAGACGTGACAACACGAAATCGTTCAAATGGAGATTG